GATTCCTAGCCTGTCTGCTAATAACCTAATACCTCTCACTTTAGTCTTTCTTCCGTTTATCTAAGTCCTTTAATAAAATAATACCCCTCCGGATTGGAGAAAAAAATAGGACCCTTCCGGACTAACAAAATTTAGAGCCCTCCGGATTGGGACCCCTCTGAGTTAGTAGATATAAGACCCCTCCGGATTGGGACCCCTCCGAATTAGCAAATATAAGACCCCTCCGGATTGGGACCCCTCCGAATGAGCAAATATAAGATCCCTCCGGATTGGGACCCCTCCGAATTAGCAAATATAAGAACCCTCCGGATTGGGACCCCTCCGAATTAGCAAATATAAGACCCCTCCGGATTGGGAGCGCTCTGGTTTGTAATAGTAGCTTTTCGGAGATTTCCTTCTTTCAACCTATACCCCTCCGGATACGTTCTCCAATGCGATTTTGCGTTTTCAATTAACTAGGAAGGGTATGTACTGCTTTCCTAGACCCTTCCGGATTGAAGTTAAGCCTCTTATTTGACAATTCACGCTAACGGTGAAGGGTCTTATCGCTAGCCCAACTTCGGCTCGATTAAGGTTTTCTTGTGCCTTTAGCCTCCCCTTTTCGTCTAGAACAGCCTAAAGTTACTCTATTTAACCGCTGTTACCTTTTGGTAGGGGTGTGAGGGCTTTTCTAAAAAAAATTTATAAAACGTGAGGGGTCTACCCTCCCGAATTGGTGAATTTGCTGAAAACAATCTCAAAAAATTTTCACGCTTACTCTTTCGAATAACTTTTGTTCCTATTAGTAAGCTCAACTAATTTCTGATCTATTGATACCAAGATCAACTCGATATGCCCAGTAGTTCCGAAGTTATTAACCAAAACGTCTTTTTTCTAAAGTCAAAGAAATTCTCTCTTATAGGTTCCGCCTAACTTTTTCCGCAATTCTGTTCTTTTCGACCTAAAAATTATTGATCCGAGCTCAGAAGGCCTATAATTTTCTAGTTCAATGCAAAAGACCCGATCTAAAACGCTTTAATTGAAAAAATTTGCGGAAAACTATGCTACTTGTACCCCTCCGGATTGATGAATCCACCAAATCTAACACGTTAAGTTCGATTTCTCTGCAACCCAGAAGGCTTTCGGGAAGCTGGTTTTAAAATTTGTAGATTCATTAGTGGACGTTGTCCGAACAACTATTTTTACTGCTCTAACTCAAAAATTTCAAAAAATTTTCTGAATTTATAGTGTTTCGTTTTCTCAAAAATCGCGAAAATTCGGTTTTCGGTACCAAAATAGTTCCAACCACTTCCGAACTAAACTTAACCGGTTCTATCTATTATGGTTGTGCAGTTACGATGTAACACACTACTTTTCCGTTTCAAAAATATCGATATCTCAAAAATCGCGACTTGTGGGGGGATCAAAATATCGCTATTTTGACCCTAAAAACCGGTCTGCTTTCTGTGTTTTTCACTGAAAAACGATATAGGAGTGTTATTATAGGCTATATAAGTAATAATATTAGTAATACTATACCCCTCCGGGTTTGTTTATTATCCGAATTAAGGTGCTTAACTCGGATATTCGCAGTTCGGTGAAGGGTCACTACAGTGCAGCACTGTCGAGCCCCCCACAGATTACTATCTTACTTTTTGTACCAAAAGGGATACAAAACTTGTTAACGATACCCAACAGTCTATTGTTGTTGTCGTTGAGCCCCTTCTTGTTGCTCCTTGTACTGCTTGCCGGATCGGTCTTCACCCAGGACCCTTCCGAATTGAGCTCAAATCAGCTGACCCTTCCGGATTGAGCGCAATTTATCATTAACGTGCTTAAATGCTCAAATAACCCTACAGTACAAGCCTCACAAACGGGCTACAAAATTGATCGTAACAATCCTGACTGATATAAATGCCTGTAACAACAATATATCTATCAACAACAAACGGGAGGGTCGGATCACATCTTGTCTGGGAGAATGATTTCTACTGATTTTTTTTCTACTTTTTTAATGTTTTTGGTTTTTTCGGTTATTTGTTTATGTTTTTTTGTTTTTCTTGGGTACTATTCTACTTTTTGTTTGGTTTTATGTATATTTTTTGGAAAAAAGTGTTTTTGGTCACAAACCTCTCAGGGAACGAGGGAATGGCCGATCCTCCCACCCTTCCTGATTCGTGAATTTTCGGTCTTAACTAGGTTGAAAAGCTATTCACGGTAATCAGGAAGGCTTCCGCGTTCCGAACTACCCTTCCACCCCGGCGGTTCAGGCCTATTAAGGGCGTTAATGTGAGCATCCGCTCGGCGCGGAGTGCTCGTTAACGGTTCTGCCGGTCATGATGTTAAAAAAGAATAACACCCAGGAGCGCCATAAAAACATCTATGTAACATTCGCCCGGAAGATACATATCGACGGAAAATAAAACTAAGTCCTAAGACGACTGGCTAACGTCTAAACAGAGCTTTACATGCTTTTAACCGTCTCTACCAAGCCAGTACTTTCGGTGGTCTTTCTAACATCGGGTCGACAAAAAACGTTACTGCTTTCGGCTTCGGTCAAAACACTCAAATTAACTTAATTACATGCAGAAATAGTGAACTCATGGCTGGGTCTTAGTATCCTCAGACCACGAGGTCACTCCTAAAAACAGGGCTACTACTTTTTATTGAATTATTATTGTTTTTATTCAGTAGATGAAAATCATCATCTCCATCGAAGATGGATCAACCCTTTCCCCCAACTCCTAGCTTCTCACTTCTCATCTTAGTAGAATGAACTCAGATGTTAATTACATTCAAATCAGGACATGACAGGGAAGCTAAAATTTAAAGAAATCGATAAGAGTTTCAGTCCCGAGTCCCTCGAATATCTTGACCTTCACCGTTTGACTAATCGTCCCAATAACGTTGTTAATCTCTTAAAATCGTCAATTCGGAAGGTTAGCTGCTAAAATTTCGAATCCATTCAATCTGCAGTTTTGTCCATTCTGGTCGAATGTCACATACTCCTCGGACAGCCCGGTCAATGTCCCCATTGAATCTCGCAATGTTCGTAAAACTGGTACAGTGTCATCGAACAGAATTTACAAAATGCACGAAACTACTTTTATCCAAGTCATATCGACTCACTGCAGAATATAAATGGCATCATACTACATCACTATAGCCTTCAAATTCTTTCATTAATCTGCACATTGAGGATATGACCTAAGATAAAAACATATTTTGCGACTTCCAATGTCAATGTCCTGATTAAAACTTTTTCTCCTAGACTTTAAAGATGTTGGTTTGCAGGACGATCCTGCCAACCAACAAGCTAAAATTATCCTACTTTGCTTCTTCCTTTCGGAAATCTTGCTTGTTGTTGTCCCGAATATTAAAACTAAGAAACTCTGTGGTTAGAGAGAACAATGAAACAATCTCCCTCTTCGAGAGATTACCCAAGCCTTCCATGTCACCACAAAGTGACAGCTCTCCTAGCTGAATAAAAACTGCCATGCAGGCTGGAATATTCAAATATACTCCTTCACTCAAGCCTTCCTAAATAAATAGTAAGTAAGTGTCTCTAAAGCCACTTAACTAAAGTCAAAGTGCAAATTTATAAATGCCACAACTTCAAAACTCAACTAAATGTTTCGGTTTTCAATTACAACTTGGTTGCTTGGTTTCTCACTTGAGTTTTTTCACACACATAAAACAATTCTGAGTTTTAACTTTTTCTTCACGACTCCTTTGTTTTCTTCTTTTTTTCGTCGTTTAGAAGTTCTAAAACTTCTTTTTTATTCGTTTCTTTTTGCATCTCGTTTTTCGGCCATTCGTCAATGTTCCATCTCTTCCTCCTGTGATCGTCAACGCAACTATCGTTGTTGTGGTTTTCTTCGACTTTTCTTCCAAAATGGCCGTTTCTGACGTTTCTCGGAAATATGAGGTCATAATTCGAATTTTTAATATTTCAAAATACCAGAATATTCTAGCCCTCACCGTTTGGCCAATCGTTCTAATAACGCTCTTATTCCTTCAAAATCGCCAATTCGGAAGGTTCACTGCTAAAAATTCGAATATGCTGAATCTGCATTTTGATCCATTCTGGTCGAATGTCACAAATCAAACTATTATATATAAACTTTAAGTTTCCTGGTCATGCTCTGAATTGAATTTAATTAATATCCAGATTCATTTTCAGATAATGAGAAGCTAGGAGTGAGGGAAAGGGTTGATCCATCTTCGATGGAGATGATGATTTTTATCTACTGAACAAAAACAATAGTAATACAAAAAATAGTAGTAGCCCTGTTTTTAGGAGTGACCTCGTGGTCTAGGGATACTGAGACCCAGCCATGAGCTCTCTTTTTTTTGCATATAATTAAGTTAATTTGAGCGTTCTGGTCGAAGCGCGAAAACAGTAACGTTTTTGTCGACCCGATGTTAGGAAAACCACCAAAACAACTGGCTTTGGCAGAGACGGTGAAAAGCATGTAGAGCTGTGTTTAGACGCTGGCCAGTCGTTTTAGAACCTAGCTTTATTTTCCGTCGATATGTACTTCCGGGCGAATGTTACATATCGTCGCATGACGGAAGGGCCCATTTTAATTGACTTCACTTCAGTAAATTTGTTAGATTGTAGTTTTACCTGTTTTAAACTTTATTTCGTTTTACTGTGCTTTTAATTTGTACCTGATAATGACATAATGGCGGAAACGTTTTACTGACAATTGGTGTTTTTCCCTGAGATCAATTGCTAAAAAAAATTGAATATTTTGTAGCCCAAGATTTATTTTTTCAACTGAATCCATTTTCACGTACTGTTTGTGACATTATCTTTTGATTTTTTGCATTTTGTTGTATTTGTAATGGCGCGAGTCTCAGCTTCGCCTCGGCGTTATTAGTTTTTAATTGAGTTTTGTTTCTTTTTTTTTCAATATATGTTTTTTCATTCCTTTCTTCCCCGCAGAGTTCTGACTAGTTAGTTTCTTGTTTTTCATTTTTAAATAAGTGTTCAAAATTAGTTCAAATTTTAGAACGGCTTTTGTTTTCATTCGTGCAATTGGAAGACGGCTAAGCATGCCGCCTGCGGCTAAAAAGATGAAACGTGAAGAAATTCCTAGCCTTGATAGTGTGTCCTTCGAGTGCTCACAAGTTAATAAGGAAGGTAAGAAACACAATTTAGTACTGGCATCTTGGAACATAAATGGGATACGCGCTTGGGCAGAGAAGAAGGCCTGGAAGTACATACTGAAAGAAAGTCCTGACGTTATTTGTTTTCAAGAAACGAAATGTTCTGATAAAGATGTTCCACCTGAGTGTAACTTACCAGGGTACTATTCGTACTATAATTGCGGTACGAAGCCTGGTTACTCGGGAACTGGCTTGTTGACAAAGAAAAAGCCCAAAAAAGTGACAATGGGAATAGGCAAAGAACAGCACGATGATGAAGGCCGAGTTATTACTGCTGAGTTTGATGAGTTTTTCTTTGTTGGCGCGTATGTGCCAAACAGTGGGAGAGGTCTTGTTAGGCTTAAGTATCGCACCCAAGAGTTCGACAAAGATTTCAGGGAATATTTGATGGTGCTCGATAAACAGAAGCCTGTCATATATTGCGGTGATCTGAATGTCGCTCACGAAGAAATTGACTTGAAGAATCCAACATCGAATCGCAATAAAACGGCTGGTTTCCATGATGATGAACGAGAACAGTTTACGGAGTTATTGAGCTCCGGATTTGTTGACACTTTTCGAAAACTTTACCCGGCTGAGCAAAAATTTTCTTACTGGTCCTATATGGGCAATGCGCGTGGCAAGAATGTGGGATGGAGACTTGACTACTTTGTTGTTTCGGAAAGAATTTTCGACAAAGTGAATGACTCAGTTATTCGTGCAGAAGTCCACGGTAGTGACCATTGTCCAGTTGTGCTCTTCCTGAACTTGTAAACATGCTCTGCTGTACATTATTTTGCTTTGAAATTGTTTTTTTTTTTTTAATTTTCTCTTTCTCCACATTGTCTGTGTCCAATGTTGAATTTCTATCTGCAAAATAACCTTCGTTATTTATCTAACAAAGGAAGACAAAAAAATTTGAATCATGTAGCAATTCAGCTTCGTTCGTTCAGTTTTTTATGGCCATGCATTTCGAATTAACGAGGAATAATTGTTTGCCTCGCAAGTAGCACATAATGTTCCGACGAAATTAATAATAATAATAATAATATGAATTTAGCGTACGCAAGGGGTTTCCCCCACAGTTTCAGTTAAGTTAGTTAGACATATTTCTGCAGTTGTTTCGGGTACAGTCGCACAGAATTTTCCAGCTACAGGGGTTGGAGTCATCGAATCTTTTCTCGAAATGCTCCCACATCCATTGCAGCAACCGTCCTCAGTCCTATCGTGTTGGTAAAGTCCACTTTTTGAGGAACCAAATTAGCCAGCCTCTTTGCATGAAACCAGAAATTTTTTTCACAAACAAATTTTGCAGGGCGTGTACATTCAAATAAACGAGATCTTGTATTAGCTAGGTCATTTTTTGGCGGAAAACGGTCAGAAAAATTGAAGTCGTAGTGATTATTGAGGATTTTAGATAGTAGAAGTAAATTATTGAGCTGAATGTACATGGGTAAAGGCAGTATTCCTAGACGCTGAAGCGACGTTTTGTAATTAGGATCTGTTGCAGTCCATTTGCATGCATTGCGTTGAACACCTTCTAAGAGTTTCATTTCTTCGACGTTCAATTGATAGCATGCTGAGCCGTATAGCAAAACTGGAATTACCATGGATTTGAACAGATTAAGTTTGGTCTTAGTATTAAGAGGCAGTGGGTTGCGCTTCAGCATGCATAGAGTGCTGAGGGCTTTTCCTCTTCTAAGTTAAATATGCGATGTCCAGCCTAGATCCGATTTTACAATTATTCCTAGGTCTTTTTCCTCTGAGACTTTCTCAATTAAATTTGAGTCGAAGTAAAAGTCGCTACTTGTGGCACGTTTAACCGGTAGGTGAGTGAATTTTGACGCATTGAACGCAATCTGGTTTTGTTGAGTCCACGTGAAGATGTTATATAGGTCTTTCTGAAAATCTGCGTTAAGTGTACCAATTCGTAAGAACTTTGCGTCGTCTGCGTATAGAAAGCTGGTGGAATGTTTACATACACTTGGTAGGTCGTTAATCATGACAAGAAAAAACAATGGCCCGAGGATTGATCCTTGAGGAACACCGCTTGTGACATAGAATGATTGGGACAGACAGTCTTTGATTTTGACACATTGTGTTCTATTTGTCAGGTAGTTATAAATTAGTTTTAAAGTTTTGCCTCTGATTCCCAGCGAGTAGAGCTTATCAATCAGAATACCGTGATCTACTTTGTCAAAAGCTTTCTGGAAATCGGTATATACTACATCTACTTCTTCATTTTTGCTTATAGCTGAATATATGGTATCAAGATAGAGCAGCATTTGGATGATCACTGACCTTTTCGTGCGAAATCCGAATTGATTGTTTTGCAACATAGGTTCTAGATGTTTATATAGATCGATGAAAAGAACTTTTTCGAAGATTTTGCTGGCAATATTAAGTAGTGATATTGGTCTGTAGTTACTTATCGATGCCTTGCTTCCTTTCTTTTTGAATATTGGGCTGACAATAGAGTGTTTTCATTGATCAGGGACAGGTCTGGAGTGCTTTATATATGATATGGTAGAGAGAGGGCGTTAAAGATTCACTACAACGCTTAAATAAAACAGGAGGTAGTAGATCGGGACCTCTCGACTAACTTAGATCTAGATCATTACACAGTTTGGCAATCAGATTCCTTTCTGGTTCTATATTATGAATTATTTGTTTAACTGAGTGCTCTTGTTTTTCAAGACAGGATGGTTGAGAAGAGATTATAAATGCTGAGTTAAAAAACTTGGCGAATAGATTAGCTTGTTCTGGCAAGGTTTTCGCAACTGAATTATCAAGTTTCATGACGGAAGGTAGTTCTGAGTTACGGAACTTTCTATAGTATTTAAACAGGGCTTTAGTATCACGCGAGTTAGACAGATGTTGTTCGTATTCGCTTCTGTTATTCTCTACGGCGGTTTGTACCTTTTCATTCATTGCAATCACCGAGGCACATTGTGAACCTTTTTGTTTGCGTAATGTTGACAGACGTTTCATTGAATTTGACGTCTCAGGAGTTATCCAGGGAGGAAGATTTTGTCTATGTTGAGTTCTACGCGGGATGAATTTTGGCAGAAAGCTATGAATCCATTCGTACCAAAGTTCGACTATTTTTGTAACATTTGACCAGCAGTAAGGTGAGAAGGTGTTGATTGAAAAAGCCTCGTTTAAACCGTTGAAGTCAGCTTTGCAATAGCTATAGAAACTGGTTTTACTAAATGTGGAGTTTTTCTCGAGTTCCTTTATGCGGATTATTGAGTTAATAGGTTTGTGATCAGATTTTGGTGCAGTAAATACGTCGAGTGGTAGGGTGTCGATTATTTCAACTTGGTTGCTAACAAGGACTAAGTCAAGTATATTAGCGTTTGTTGTTTTGAAATGAACAGTTTGAGTTAAGCTTAGTTTATCTATTTTGTCAAGTATACATTGATGGAGCGGTTCTGAGGTTTGAATGGACCAGTCAATTGAAGAAAGATTAAAGTCTCCGTTTATTATACGATGAATTGCATTGCAGTTCGACAAGAAGTCCATTAGCTGACAAATGCGGAAGGGCTCCAGATAATATTTGCTGTTAGGAGGGGGGAAATAGCATGTGGCAATTAGTAATGTGCCTTCGGAAGATTCCCAGATTATAGCGGTGCAATAACCTTGAAATTGGTCAGGAAGAGAGATTTCGGCTCTTTTCCAGTTCCCCCCTTCAAATTCATTTTTGAAAACCTTATTTAACGTTGTCATAATGCAATGAAAATTGGCATGGTGAACAAATTGACAATTATGAACAGATTTGTTCTTCATACTTTACAGCGTAACGTCACGCATTTAGCCGTAATAACACGTAAAACAAACATAAAAATCGATATTTTGAAAGGTGGGGGGATAGTTGAAAAGAGCCGAGATTTCATAGCATTTTAGTGTAGACTTTGTTGCAATAAGGACCCCACCGTGTGCTGATTTTTCATTTTGTTTGTTGTTTCTGTCAGAACGAAAGATATTGAAGCCAGGGAGGAATAGTTCGGAGTCGCTGATGTTAATTGTGAGCCATGTTTCGCTTAAACAGATGATGTCAAAGTTGTTAGTGAAGACAAAGTTTGATAGAGATGTGCGCCTACTTGAGTTGGCAAGAAAGGCAAGAAATTCAAAAAAAAAATGAAAAATTAAAATTTTACAATTTTTGTCTAATTTTCCTGCAAAATTTGATAGCTCAGCCTCTCTTCTCTCTGTAAATTGTGTCTCATCTTATCTGGAAATCAAAAAGGTTCGGACAAGTTTTCCTGACGAATAGAACGAAGTGATTTTCACTTATATCGATGATTTTTTGCTATTTTTTTTTCGTCTGGAAAAGTCTTAAAATGCTTTCATAACTACAGAAGTGCATCATACATATTAATGCATTTATGAATGAACTTAGGTATATATGCACTTTTTGAGTTCATTTCAAACTCTTTTGCTAAAAGAAGGCACATTATGCTCTCCAAAAGCGGAAATGGCGCAAAAAAAAATACGCGAATGACTTCTAATTTGGAAAGAAGATTTAAAATTTTAGATTTCTCAGCGGAATAAAAAATAATATTGATCAAGTTTTTTTTAAGTAGGCTAGGCTAGCTTTATGAATGAAGTGTTGATTGTATTCTTTTTTGAAACTAAGAGAGCTTTCTTTTAATATATTTTTCTTTGAATGTTCAAGGAGAGTCAATTATTTTCTGTTTTACTCGGGTTCATTGACATTTTCTCGGCAATGAAGGAATCGGAATCACGACTATTAGGGCTTCATTTTGGTATCAACTTGACCGCAGTGCGAGCATTCTTTAAGGTGATCAAAATTTGCTGGAAGATAATTTTAATAAGCAGACCCTAACCATAGTTTTTTTTCATTAGTCGACTGGTAGGAACAATGACCCTAATGTATGCAAGACTATGAAACCTGTTACTTGGTTCTCTCCCGCTCGAATATTTTTTGACTACTCATTTTTTCTGACCTCCGACCCGACTCATCCATATAATTGTTTTTTTTTTCACTTTTTTCCTCTGATATGTAGCTGTCTGTCTGTTTTTTTTTCACACCTGCGAGCATTGTGATATACGGAGAGATTTTTTTCAGCAAACAAAAACACTTTATTGATTAAAAATAAACAATTTTGAGGTTTGTTTATACTTTTTGATGAACGGCGCCCTGAGCTGAAATGGAAAGATGTTCTCAGCCTGCAGTTTTTTCGGTACATTTTGCTAGACTGAGCACAGTTTTTTTGCCTACTCATGGATTCAATGCGTAAGCTCGTCGTTATTCCCTGAAGAGATGCCACACTCGCGATCATGTAGGAAGTTTAGAAGATCTGCCTACAGACAACCATTTTATTCTTTTAGTTTTTACACTCAGGGGCTAAAGAGCGTAGTGTTCTGGTACGAATAACTTTTTTTACCAACCTAAAGAGCATATAAAAATGCTATTAGCACAATCTGTCGGATTGGAAATTTCTTAGCCTTTTTTCTCTGCTTTGTTTGTTAGACTCCAGATCTCGAGGTCCCAAGTTCGAATCAGGAAAGTGGCATTTTTTCCTAATTCGAATCTTGCTTCCCGTTATGTGTGAAATTGATTTTTTTACACTGTTATGTGGTGATTAGCGTAGACAGGCTGCTCAAACTGGTCACTTTAAGTGACCTGGTGACTTATTGGCCACTTATTATTTCTAGGTCACTTTTTGTTGAAACTTTTAGTCGTATCAAGGGAATCCTAGCAATTATCGAGAATTTTTCCAGATAAGCTCATGGGACATTGCACGTTCAATCAGAAACTTCAAGAAGAGTTCACTTGGGTGCTTACCGTTAAGAACGAGTAGTATTGGTGCCGACGCCGCTTGTTTTTGAGTGTTGTCGGTAGCAAAAGGAAGGCAATCTTTAGTCGATCATCAAAAAGACCACTGCAGGTCAAAAACGAACAAGCTTAAAAGGATCATCCGACAATAAAGCAGCTGGTAAACGCCCAGGTTGACAACGCTATTGCAAATAAAGCTGTAACTCTGCACGTGCTGTAGTTATTTTAAAATGGTTCTCCATTCCGGACGAGCGAGTGTTTCAGTCGTCAGAGGGATCTGTTCGCAAAAATATTTCGCGAATCCAGTTACACAAAGCTGGCTTGTGGGCCTACCAAAGAAGCAACGTATATGCTTGTGCATGGCATTGTTCTATTCATAAAATCCGAGATCACCAAAAAGCTTTGGGGCTAGCGGTTTGCCATACACTTAGACGAGTCTTCTTACAACGGTAAAATGCGTGGAGAAATCTGGATTGCTTATCACGATTGAACTTATCATGTTTGTCACTGCTTGTCTACAAAGGAGTTACACTATAAAGTGGAATTATTGAGCAACAGCGGAACATTTTATTCCAACCTTGAAACGTTAACTTCGAGTTTTCATTTAGATAATGTCATGATGAAAGACGAAGTTGCCACATTAGTGGTTGTGTTATGGTCTTTTTCACTTATTAAACTATTCGAGCAAAACTAAGTGGAATCGCTTTCTGAGGTGTATTTGCTTCGCGAGTCACCGCAGCTCTTGATTCCACAGAACATGCAAGTTGAAGCGGGGCTCAGCGAAATGAAGACTGCTGAGAGTCTGCAACAGAGTCATTTCTCGCCAGAAACTTTCAATGGTTTTAGACTGGCAAGAAGCTTCAGTTCAAATTTTGAAGTTATTATTTATCGAGATTTCAGCTGAGTTGTCGTCGCTCTTGGCGAAAGCTGCGGAGAGTTACGTGAAGAAGGTGAGATTGCAGCCGGTGCTCGTGAACAACTGTGAGTGTTCAAAAGGCACGCGCCTGGTGCGCTCAAGAAAATCACTGAAACCGACAATGAGTTGGAAAAAGCTCAAAACTCAAAAGCTGGTCGAAGAGCTCCAAAAAAAAGCTAAACTGTAACTAAAGAAAACAGCTGTTGTTGAACATGCTAGTGCTATATCTGCAAATGTGATAATAAAATGTTCTGAACAGTCACTTGTTCTTATTTTTTGTAAGAGAGACTGAAAATTGTCGGTCACTTTTTTTCTCTGACCGATTTGAGCAGCTTGAGCGTAGACTATAACTGTTGAACATAAGCCGAGTAGTCGCATCCTGACGTGTTGATCCGACCATTTCACGAACTGGAGTAGGGTAGGTTATTATATAAATCAAACTCGAAGGTGTTCTTGTGTGTCATCATAATAAAGCCGTTTCTGTTGTGATTCAGATTTCAAAAATTTTGTCCCAGAATCAAGAAAAAACAAGTCTGATTATTTTTGGACTTCCAGACTAATATGAACAACTTGATCAGAGGATAACTTGTTTTCTACAGCAACAAAAGTTTCCTTCTAGCTTTTTTGTAGTTAACTCAATTGGCGCTTTTTACAATCAACAAAAGAACTGAAGAAAGCTATTTGTTTCATTCAACTGTTTAATGTCAATTCGCCATTTTAGAGTTTTGTAAATCATCGTGTTCTGCGAGATTTTTGAATAGTTCCTTTTGTACACAATTTTGTTTTATGTTTTGTTTCTTTTTTTATTTTAAGCTCCTCTTTCCCTATTTGTCGCTTGATTGCGACACTGCATTATCGTTTCTGTATCAATGTTTTTGTGCGTGGTCGGAGGATAACGTTGTTGATTGAAGTTACTATTTCTTCAAAAGAAGTTTTTGAATTTTTCTGGAGGTTTGCAGAGCTACTATTGTCGTTTTTTTTTCGCTACTGTTTGCTAGGTTTGGTGTGCTTAGATACCTCGGCTATTTTTGAAATAAATTTATAACATTTTAAAGTTGGCTTGGAGGTAACGGGGTCGGCTCTGCGCCCTAAAGTCAGCTATTGGAGTCCCAGCCGAACCTTTTTTTTCAATGTGTATAGGATTGGGAAAAAAAATAGGGTAAAAGTTGAATTGTCGGACTTTGGTTTTTCTTTTCAAGTGTTGTCGACTTAGGTGCCACATCATGGATGTTTCTTGTACTGTAAGCAAGTTTCATATTGATCAATCGTGCGTTAGTATTGATATAGTATTGCTCGCCAGTTGTTATTGCAGCCAAGTCGTCGTCGTTCCGAGCTTTTTGGTTTTATGCGTGTGGTTTGTTCATTACTCCGGAGCGGAATTTGTTGAATTATTTGATTTGGGACTACTTGGTGGACAGTTGTTCAAATCGGAGATCAATTTGCAAGTTTTTGGGCCTTCAGTACTCCTGGGTATAGATATGGTTTTAGTCCCACGAGGCTGTGGGTTAGTTCTTTCCCAGTAGTAAAATTGTTTTTTTTTTTTGCGAATTTAGCAGTTTTTAAGTTGCCTATTCTTGTTTTTTTTGCGCTACCTAAGTGTGAATCAACTCAAAGGGTATATAGAAATGGCATTGAGAAATCTCGATTTCTTAGTTCAAAGATTGCTAACAATCGTAATTAAATGGCGTTCATTGTTTTACCCTGCGAAATTGTTACGGCCTAATAGCACCTTGTTTCAAGATTTTGGTTACCACCGTCCATGTATAGATACCACCGTGCATGTATAGCATTGAAATAAATCATATTGTTTTTTAATAGAAATTTTGTGCTATTGGACAAAAAAAGGCATATGAATTCGGGTTAATACCATGCCAAAAAGAGCCAAAAATTTTCTTGCATTTTCCCCACATTCCGGACAGTTATTTTGTTGAGCGAAACTCTTTTTTTTTGCTTCTCAAGGCCGTTTTTTTTTGCCCAGAGCTTTCACGTGGTACCATATTGCAGCCAAAAATGGTCGGGCTGTGGTAGTTCTGAAGCTCTACTGAAAATTACAGAAGCTCTAATTCTTCTGACAATTTTTCAAAAATCTTAGCTATTATTACCTGATTCTTATGGAACATTAACGTTTTCAGTCCCCTGGCTAAATAAGGTTTTTTCTTGTTTTTGTTATAAATATGTTTAGAGAATGTTTAATAGCCTTATTTAGGATTAAAGTTATTTCACAGACAGTGAATCTTTTGTAGAAAGAGAGATTTTGTAGTTTTTATTAGTTGTGTACTCTTGCTTTTCATAAAACGTTGCTTTGATGAAACTATTTCAGGTAATAATGGGTTATGGTGCTTAATTCCAGCTGCATCTAAAATGAGCTAATATAGTTAAATATTATATAATATATGACTGCGTCTAATATCTCCGTGTCTGTTAGACTGCGCCCTACGAACTCCCTGGTCCAGGATGCCGTGGTGTCAGTCAACGGAAGCAACGTCAGACTGTCCAAGATGTCTCTGAAAGATTCGAACTTCAACAGCAGTAGCAGTGAAAGAAACGAGGAGTTCACGTTCGATCGATGCTACTCTAAAGCTAACAATACTCAGGAGAATATCTTCAGAGATATTGGCGAACAGGCTGTATACGCTGTAGACGATGGTTTCAACTGTTGTGTTTTTGCATACGGACAAACGGCGAGTGGAAAAACATACACGATGTTTGGAACTGAAAAAGCGCAAGGTCTAACACCCAGAATTCTAAACGCGTTAATCAGTAAAATTGGTTCTGAAAGTCAGTGTCAGTGTTCAATCAAAATGGGATACCTGGAAATTTATAATGAAAAAGTTCACGACTTGCTTGGCTGGCGACCTTCGAGTTGTAATGTTTCTTATCAACTGCCATCTCTGAAAGTAAGAGAACATCCAGTAGAAGGAGTTTTCGTCCAGGGTCTAACCATGCACAACTTATCATGTTATGACGAAGTGAAGGACTACTTGCTACAAGGCAACAAAGTAAGAGCGATTGCTTCAACTAACATCAACGAGCACAGCAGTCGCTCACATGCAATAATCATTCTCAAAGTTGTGAAAAGACAGCCTAATCAGAATGGAAGTGGTTTTTCTGAAGTTGTGAGCAAACTTCACTTGATTGATCTAGCGGGAAGTGAGCGAGTTAAACACACAGGAGCCACCAGTAAAAGACTCAAAGAGGGTATTAGTATTAATCAAAGCTTGACAAATTTAGGCAAAACCATATCTCTGCTTGTTGAGTACTCAAAACTAGACCCGCAAAAACGACAAGCGTTTCACATACCCTATAGAAATTCAAATTTGACCTTTTTACTCAAAGATAGTCTAGGAGGCAATTCGAAGACATTCATGATTGCCACGATTTCAACCGCTGCCTCAAATTACTCTGAAACCAGAAACACTCTTCTGTACGCTTCCAGGGCTAGAAAAATTGTGAACAAGCCACTTATCAACCAAGACACAAATTCTCAAGTCGTTGGAGATCTCAAAAAAGAGGTCGAATGTCTGAAAAGGCTTCTAGCACAAGCTTCACTGCACAATCAGAAAATGACAGGAGTCTCCATAGCTACCGCAACGTCGACAAGTTCAAGTCCAGAATGTTGTTCACATAGTCAAGTAATGCATGATCAGCTTATGCGAGACGAAAGAACTATCGGGGATCTGCTAACGACTCACGAGTCATTAAGTGAGCGACCCTTCTCTCCTGAATCGATAAACGGCGACATAAATACGAGGGAGTTTGGACCCCCATTTTTATGTCGAACTTCTAATAGCAATTCATTCACTGAGGGAAACGAAATGTCAGGCATGTTCTTCCTCAAAGAAGGCGAAACAAAAATTGGTTCCGATGCAAGTAAAGTTGATCTTCTAATCGAGGATGATGATGTAAACGATGTTCACTGTAGTTTGTTCGTCGAAGATGACTCAGCAACGATAATTCGTCACGATTCAGCTTTCGTGGCTGTAAACGACGAGCCAGTTCTGTCCCATAAGTTTGTGAATCATGGCAATGAAATCAGTCTTTCCGGAAGAACTCCTCTAGCTTTCACTTTCTATTTCCCATCGCAGCTTGCGACTAAAATGTTACGGCAACATCACCGCTCATCCAGTCGAGCATCTTTGATGTCGCCGCCGAGAAGTGTGTCGTCATGTAGCTCGGGAGCTAGCTCTCGTCCGCTGAGTAACTTATACGTAGATTGCAGCTCCAATTTCAGTTTGAGTAGTATCGGACAATCTAACGGTTCGCCAGAACATAGTCGATGCTGTTTGTCGATGCCTGCGAGAAGTTTCGAAACCGAGAGTCGGGGTTCGATGGCTCCTCCGTCTCCGCAACCATCGCTTCCGATGCTTGAAGATTTCTCACAGCAAACTGAATTCGCCTGCTGTTCAGCTAGTGAAAATCTCGTCAGCTTACAGCAAATGCTTCTGGACTCATGTGATAAAGGAGTGAAGCAAATAGTTGGGGAAAACGAGTCAATACGAAGTCAGATTGAGTGTCAGTTAGATTTGATCAGGTGTGATAATAGAAAAATGGCACTTTTAGAGCAGAAACTATACGCCGAAGTGGAAGAAGAACTGTGTAGTTTGAATAAAACTAGAAAGAAACTTACTTTAGAAAGAATCGAAATCGAAGATTTAGTTGACAGGGAAACGAACGAACTAGAGAGTTTGTCTCGGCTCACGAGAAGTCGGAACGCATCAACGAGGAGTGTTTCGGACGAAGAAAGCCTGTTCTCGTTGGATTATACCGAAAGTACTTTAGATCTTCCCTCAGAAGAAAGTTGCGAGGGCTACGCTCAAGCTAAGCAGGCAAGTTCGAATCGGTACCATATTTTAATGGAAGTTCAACAGACAATGGAAGGATTTGTTCGAGAAAGTTCCCGAAATTTGCAGAAAAAAGTGGCCCTTCAGAAGTCAATATTGGCCGGTCAGAATAAATTAGCTGAAGTAGAACGCAAGCTAAGTTCAATATCGGATAAATGCAACTGGCTTTGTTCATATTGCGACAAGTTGAAAGAATACTTCGAAGTTGAAAGAAGCTCTATGCGTGACTTTGAGACTAAAATGGGTAATTTCTGTTCACATGCTAAGCGTCAATTGGATTCAAAAGAAGATGCAATCATGCAAACAAAAGTTAAATTAGAAAGGTTCCGAAAAACAAGTTCATGTCCCGTAAGCCCAGCCCGGACAGAAATGAGTGCCAAGTCACCCTATAAGAAATGGTCTTTCACGCCGAATATTCGGATAACCGACGAAGTTTTCCCAAGGAAACCAAGTCATTGGCTGAGAAATGACATCGAAATGTCGAAGCAATATCGAAGTGCAAGATTGGGTCCGAAAGGTGACGAGATGTTTCTGTCACCGCCTGGTTCAAGAGCGAGTCGTGACGATTCGGGAATTCTGTTGACTAGTCGCGACGATCGAAGTGACAGTTCTTTTAGTGCGGCCTCAATGCCGATTCACAGTATGATGCCGTCGGCACTGAAAACAATGCGGGGTGCCAAGTCAACTTTTGTGTCTGTCTCTGTGCCGAGATTCAGACGTCGTAAATCGCATTACAATTACTTCCACGAGTATCAAATAGACGTTACTCTACGTGACGAGGCCTGGACTGTCTTCCATAGATTCAGCGCACTTAGAGATGTCCACATGGCGCTGAAGAGCAAGTACCCTGAACTGAGGTTCCTCGATTTTCCTCCAAGGAAGGCGTTCGGAAGTCGACTGGAGAAAGTTGCGGCCGAAAGGAGACTGCAGCTGCAACAGTATTTGCAATGTCTGGTCAATTTATGCATTTGCAGAGTAGATCAAACGGAAGAAGCTGCAGATAGTTCAGAGAAAGAAAAAAGTCACCAGAGTTCAGGAATTTCGAAAGATTGCTTAATTCAGCTGCTACCCTTCTTAGATCCTGCATTCATTGGCTCACAGCAAGGACCATCGGGGTCAGCGAATTTACGCGCAAGTGAATTTTCAGTTGATTTGTGAATTCTCAGCTCGAACATAGTGTAATTAGAAATCTATCTAATTCTGAAAATTAATTTTGTACAAATTTTATAGCTTAAAAACAATAGAGAAAATTTTATGCGCTCATAGTTGTTACTTATGTATTGATTGCTAAATGTGCTATTAGAGTTCAGTTGCGCAAAATTGTTAGATGAATTTCGTTGACACCTTTTCACAGATTTCAAAATTTAGCTTGAGACTCAAAGCATGAACTGTAAATGTCATAATGTTCATTAATTAGCTTGACTTTGTTGCTGCGCAATTTTATGATATTTCAATCAAATGTCAGAGAACACAATTGTATCTTGAAATTGCTAGTGCTTCAACCATGTGGCTCACATAGATCAGTTTTGTGTAAATAATTTTTGAGAAACATCCCAATTATTTACTCATCAGCATCGCCAAAGGACGAGATCGTCAAGGTGTGCTAATATCCCCCAAAAAGAGCAGTTGAATACATAACAAAGAAAGACTTCACTCAGAAAACATACTTTATAGTTTTTAGTTTTAGTTTATTTATCAAGTATGTTTTCTGAATAAAGTCTATCTTTGTTATGTAATCAACTGCTCTTTTTTATCCCGTTTTTGTAAGTAAAATAGCCATTTCTTAGTTAAATGGGCTTTTTTATGCTCAAAATTTTGTGATCAAATTAACAACTTTGTGGATATATATTTTTAATTTTGGTTAATTTTACGGATTTTGGTTAAATTTAAGGTTCAGTAATATTTAAACTCCAATACAGTAAATTTATAGAATAGTTGAAGAATAATAGGTAAATTAAACTCCTTAAATTAAACTCCTTAAATTAAACTTATTAAATAGTTACAGATTGCTTTGCTGCAGCGGGGCTACCGGTTAGTTAGCCCATGTTACCCCTTGCTGTTCTGTTATCACCTGGGACGTTTGCAACAATTGTATCCGCCCATCTGAGCGTATCATAGTTTCCCCTACACTTCCTGTGTGTTGGCCTGGGGTCATTTTCTTGTAAAGTAACCCAGAATCTGTGCACTGCCAAGGGCACCCGAGGCGAACCGCTTCCCAAATTTACTGGGAATTGGGAGTGAATCGCAAAGCCCCTCGCGATGGCCACTCGCCTGCGTTTAACATCGGACTCATACCCAACGATCGAGGAATTACTACACGCTGAACTGGATGACGTGTCAAAATTCTGCGAAAAGACAACGAAAGCAAACCTTGTCCCTTTGTTTAAAGAAATGTGCTCTCAGCTGAAAGAGCTGAAGTCAGTAACCAATGCGGTGTCTGAAATCAAACAGCTTGCAGTCGACATATCCACCAAAGTGAACAAAAAAACGTTCACTGAAGCTCCTCAGTCGTTTGCTGACATAGTCCGCCAGCAACTACAGCCCATGAAAGAAGATATGGCGACGTTAAATACATCTGTCAAAGAACGTGAATCTTGTCGTGAGCGCCGTCACCCACAAACCAACTGATAACAGTGTTGGTCGACAAATCAGGATCCGCGGTGTCGAAGAAATACCAAAAGAGGCAACTAAGCGTTAGCACATTGACCACGACCGAAAGCAAGTTGAGAAGATTTTTAATTTTCTAGAAATCCCCTTCTATTTCACGAACATCACTCGACTTGGGGTCCACACTCCTACGAATCGCCAACGGACTGGCCCAAGAACATTACTTGTCACATCTGAGTTTGCAAAGGATCACGTTATCTGCTCGACGTCTCTTCTCAAGGACTACGGCAAGAAAATTAACATTTGTTCAGCGCTTTCTCCTGAAATTCTGCGTATAGAAAACGAACTTCTAAAAGAAATATGACGACTGATAAAGGACAACGTCATGGAACCAAAGGAAATTCGACTCCGAAACTTGAAACTACAGATATACGAAGACGGCCTCTGAAACGACGCACCGCAAGTGACTCCAGGCTCCGGCGTCACGGATAAACGCTGACTAATGTCCCTTCCCAATGTCAGAGTCGCCTTGTTTAACGTAAGAAGCATCATCAACATGCGCCGACGAGACGCACTGATGACCGCATTGATTGCGTGCGACTATGACGTATTTGCTTTGACTGAAACCTGGCTAACAGGAGATATACTAGACTCTGAGCTACAAATTCCTGGATTCAACATATACAGATGTGACAAGCAATCGGATAGTGCACCACGACATGGTGTGTTGGTGGGGGTGAAAACCTGCATTAACCATGCTCATGTCCAGGTAACACTGAACTCTCGCATTGAGACTGTTGCATTTTCGCTCTCTGGCAGCACTGGCACGTTTGTGATCCTCGCTGCGTTTTCTCCTCCTATGACCAGCGATTACCGTTGGAGCCACTCAAACTGGTGTGAGTTCCCAGACTGCATGGAACACCACGGAAAGCTACATCCTTTCTTTGTCCTGGGCGATATGAACCTTCCTCAAACTGACTGGTCTTCATACTCTTCGCCGACCCTGATGAACAGAAAATATTGGACGAGCTCGATAAACGCAATTTGTTTCAACTGGTGACCTTTAAGATGACATCAACTAAATGTCTTGACCTCGTCCTGGCGAATCACGATGGATGTGCACTGAACGTATCCAAAGATGAATCGCTCACCCGCCTATACCGAATTGACGATCGACTCTGCTCAGCTTCTTGTGCAGTAGAAATCCGCCTTACATTTCCGGTTCTACGTGCTGTGTCAACTAAGACACAAACGAAAAGCTTTGCCATGGCGGATTACGATATGCTGTCTCAGTTGATAGTCGAGAATCCATTCAAAGGTCGCTGTTGGTCAAATCCGGATGTTCTCCTTAACAATTGGTACGTCTGGCTTCACAAGCTGCTAGGACAGTGTGTTCCTCTAAAGACTGCGCATCGAAGACTACTGCCCCCATGATTTCCCGGCCCACTTCTCACGAAATGAAGAAGTTGAAATCTTTACGCAGCCGTTCGTATATGCCAACGGAACATCTTAGTATCCGAATAGAAGCTCTCGAAAGTCGTCTACTGAAGACCAAAAATTGTATGAAACTCGCTTAGCTGATAATCACGATTCGCGGAGGCTGTTCAAATATTTCAACGCAGTGCGAAAGGCAAGTCTAATTCCTCCGAAGGTGACACATGACAATGTATCAGCTTGTACCCCTGATGAACAGGCCGAACTCTTCAACGCTTACTTCCAAAGCGTTTTCTCTGCTAATCTTTGCGTCAACGTTTCTAAGACGCCAGAAGATCACACACCCCAAATTCCCATTGAACTTCTGGTTCCCGAGCTGGCACGATGTGTAAGTAGTTTGTTCTTCTTTTGTACAAATTGGTGTATATCAACGCGCCTGGAAGGTCAGCAAAGTCACAAAGACGATGACCGCTGCATTGTGAGAAATTATCGCCGCTATCACTCCTGAGCATCCCGTCTTAAGTACTGGAGCGATGCATATTCAGTGCCTTATATCCCCATGTTGCTCCCTACTTATACTCGAATCAATACGGATTTAGATGCAAGCGGTCTGCTTCATTGGAGTTACTGGCCTACCTTGACGGTATCTATCGGGGTTAGAGGTGTCTGAGAATTCCGTTTGTGCACTATATTTAGACTAGCAAGGCATTTGACAAGATCAATCACCAACTGTTGCTGCAAAAACTCAAAGCCCTCGGCGTCACGGGAAAACTATTTGGGTTGCTCAAGTCTTACCTCTCTGACAGGCAGCAATACGTCACGATTGGCTGTAGCAACTGAGGTACGCGGTGGGTTACCAGTGGAGTACCGCAAGCAATCCATTCTTGGTCCTTTATTGTTTCTTAGTTACTGCCTCGACCTGACTCACGGGACTAAATCATCCGTGTTTTCATTCGCAGACGACACGAAGCTCCTATCAAGAACTCCTGCTGGTAATGAAAGCTCGTTGCCCGACTATGCTACCACCCTCTTCGTTTGGTCCGAGAAAAACGCGCTTCCGCTAAATACCGGCAAACGTAAGCTGTTGGGATTTCAGAAGCCACATCTACCTCGTATTACATTGGGTGATCAGGAGCTGTCATTGGCATCCTCAATTTGAGATCTAGGCGTCTTTGTGTCCGATAGCCTCTCATGGAAGCTCCATGTTTCCGCGAAGTGCAGCAAAGCTAACAAGTGATTCTTGCTCATCAAAAGAAACACTGCACTTTCACTTCTGCCTACCCAGCGCCTCAACTTGTACAAATAACTTGTTGTTCCGATATTTTCTTATTCTTCAGCTGCTTGGTACGCATCGAAAGGTGACATGGTTATTATCGAGCGTGTTCAGGGCCGTTGCACCAAGTGGATCTTGAGCTACCAAGACCTATCCTATGCAGACAGACTCAATCGCCTGAATGCAGACCGATCGCCTTACACCATTAAACTGCAGACGTACTGCTCCTATCTAGCATCATGTCCGGCAAATATGACTTCAACTGGCATGAGTTTGTTAAATTTCATATCCACCACACAACCAGTTTCAGTGATTGCTTGTTATTTGAACTACCTTCTATCCGTCTTGAGGTCCAGCGAAATATGGTATCGCGTGCCAAGGTTGATAAATCTACTTCCAGCATCGATAGACATTTAAACCCCCTTGGATTAAAGCGACGGCTGCTCGAAATCTTCTGTAAATACTTTTACGATTGGTACGGTGTTGATATTCCATGCGGCTGGAGAATTGGATGTTGTTGCCTGTTATGCAGAGATTCTAACTAGACTGCCTCCTGTCAACACCCATCCCAGATTTGACATAACGTCCACCTGACTGTATTTTATACTTCATTACTGACTCTGACTCTTAAAGGGCCAACGGCCCCTCAACCTTTGGCTGTAAAGCTACAATAATAATCATAATAAAAAACTACAAAATACTAAAAAGTCCTCAGCCAAATTTTCTTAGACATATTGCAGATATCGCGATGGCAGAAAAAGTGACCAATCGAGAGTCAACAAATAGAAAGAAGAAGGCAAATATATGTCTGATAAATCCTATTGTCTCAGCAATTTCTGTTGGTTTTTTATATTTATTTCAAAAATGAACAAGTCAGGGTCATGAGCAATAATCTATTGCTGTTAGCTGTAGAATTGAAAAAAAAAAACAATTCGCTCACACCTCACTTAATCTAGGACGCTTAGCCGGAAATTAAAGGGGGGGGGGGGGGGGGGGTAAGTCAAATCTCTTTGTTACAGTAAAAGGTTATAATCTTGTTGAGACACAATGGGAGATAATGAGATAATCGGTGGGAACCGTGGCGTCAAAGGCCTCTCTTTGTCTGTTCGTGGGGCCCCAACATCCGTGTGTCGGATTTATGTTGGAGGAACGAAATCCTCAATACCAATGTTTCCTCCTCCAACATCACCTTCAGGCTGGCGTCCTCCGCTCCCAGCGGTGCAGCGTAGATCTACAAACGGATCTGCAGGTCCAAGGAGTGCGGATCGACCCACTCCCGGACGGTCATCCCGAGCCGGCTGGACTTCACCTCGATGTCCGGCACTTTGGAGTAATGGGCTTGTCGCCCCACGGTAGCCCGGACCCTCACCTCCTGGACAATAGGGAGCTCCTTCACGTTGTCATCTGATATGGGCGCCCACACGAAGGCCTCCGCCCCCGTGGGGAACAGGATGTTTCGGTGAAATGATGTTGTTTTGGGGGTAGTCGACATGTTTTTCTAAATAGGGAGAAAGCAGGTTTTAGAAACGTGCACTTTTACGCGATAGACCGAGGGGGGGGGGGGGCGGTGAAATTATAGCCAAATTTACTGGCAAATTATCAAAAGACGAAAATACTCACGTGCAAGAGAGGTAGTTACTGACGGCGATTCAAAAGTTGAAATGTATGGTTTAAGTCAAACCCCC